TTACCACAAATGGTTGTAAATGGAAAGATTTTTTTTTTTTTAACGGAGATTTCCCATGTGTCTTAGAAGAGTCTGTGCTATTCCATGATTCCTGCTGAGCCAATGGATCTGGCAGCTAAGTGCTGTCAGATCTGGTTGAGGTTTAATCCCCTTGCTGTGTGCTTTGGCAACATATTTGTTGCCATAATAAACTCTGCAGAACAGAAGGTACATGCCTTGGATGACAGTCCAGATAAGCATTAAGTTAGTGTGGCCATGGATAGATGCAATCTCTCACTCTGAAAAGAGGGAGAGCAGTGAAAGATCATTCTTTTGCTCTGGTTTACTATAAGCCCAGAAAACACGTCAACCATTTCAGGTTTTAGACGTATTAACTTAAAATACTGAATGAAGTGTTTTGTGTTGGGCGCTGACTCACCAGGCTGTGAGTAAGAGTGGCTGAAATATGGACACACATCGTGCTCTTCAGGTGTGCTATGGGTGTAAACAACCCGCAAAACAAAGATGTTAAACATCTGAGGGAGGCACAGATGCTCTCTCTCTGTGAGTGTGATTCATAATTTAAGATACTCATTCCATACAGTGGCCAAAATCTGGCAGAGTATTAAGAGAAAAACTCAATCTTGGGTTGTCAAGACAACTCGAAGTATCACTGGTATTACACTGTTGTAGTTTGCCAAATAATTTGAACTATGGCAGATTCCCCTCCTCATTGAAACACTACCTTTTTGTACTAACTCTGTGCTCACATGTCTTTCTGTTTGCCCACCCATCAGCTTAAGATGTCTGGACTACCAGAAACAGGAAAGTCTGCCATTAGAGGTTTACAAAACAAAAGTAGACATTGCTGTCACTGAATTTATTTTACAGTGGCTTAACCTATTTCATCTTCATAATTTCCTGTGAGTCACTTCAGAGCATAATGGAAAACTTCAGCACAGCATGACTCTTCATTTGTGTGAGTGATACCAGTATGATCTTCAAACAGAGTGTATTTATTTGGGCTAAATGCTATTGTTATCACTTTTGACTAAATGGTGAGATGGTTTTCAGAGTCTTTCATAACACTTCAAAAAGGAGATATTGAAAATGGAATTTGCTATTTCTACAGCATTATTCTGTTAATTTACATAATCAGTATATTAACTACTTTTTTCCTGAAAATGAAAAGCATCAAATAACCATATTACATTCAGTTTTTCAGAATTACTCTCCTATTTCAGAATACAAAATTCTTGTTTTATTTTCAACTTTGCTTTCAGGATCCCAGTGTCTCTGATGCTTATTTAGGACAGGGACAGACACACCCGTTTTTTCAACTATCCATTCCATAAACGGTTCAGTTGATTAATGATATTTAATGTCAACGAAAATGCCCAGCAGTATATGACATACCTTCTACAAACTACTGCCTTCCAACACAGTTTTACTTCATCTTCAGTAGCCTCACAGCACAGCAAAAAACAATGGACTGAATAGAAGGACTTGCATTTCACTTCTAGCATATCAAAACTGACATCTGAACAATTTTGTATAATCACAGTGAAAAATAATTTTAAAAAAACCAAAACACATTTATTTTTTTCCCCAGGGCTACTGGGAGTCAACATAATTTCCACATTAAATAGGACTTCTGTCACCATTCCAAGAAAACAAAAAGTTAAAAGGAAGTAGATTCACGTATGTGTCCTGTCTCCACCACACAGTCTGATTGCATTATAATTTGCTCAAATGAAATTTCCTAATAATACTAATAAATTACACTGGCTTCAACTTGATGTTATTTGACTAAGTAGTGCAACATACTATTTAGTTTTTTGAAACATAAAGAAAGAACTGCAATTCATTTCTCTTCAGTGAGTAATCTAGATATTTAGGTGCATTTATTTTTTGAAAAGTCCAGAAAAAATGGAACCCCTTTATGCTGTAGCTATGCTCAGAAATAAGCCAGGTCCATTACCTGACTCTTTGGCCAAGTTTTCCTGTCCTGCAGTGAGTGGCTGCATCCAACAGAGCTGGTCTCTGAACCAAGTCCTGGCACTATGCAGAGGTGAGACAGGTGGCCCAGGCTGGGGGTGGGCTGGGCATGCTGCTGGCTGTGCCATCTCTCTGCCAGAGGTGGTGATCAGATGGCTGTGGTTGGGTGTATGACCTGCTTCTGTCAGCTTTATAAACCAGCAGTGGCAGACTATGCACTTCCTTTTTTTTTCCCCAACTTCGAGTAAAATATACTCCTTTCCAAAAGCAATTTAAAAATATTATTTCAGAATTTTAATGCTTCTATTATTTAATTTACATTTATCTATTTGTATTTATTTATTCAGACACAAAAATGCATTTTTATTGTTTATAAACTTCTAATGTTCAATTTCCTGGACCTTTGAGCAACACAAACCAGTAAAATAGGGCTTACTTTTGTTGAAGCATAAACAGAATTTAAATGGGAAAAAAAGTCTGTGCAAAGATGCCTAATAATAGTCAGAGGAGAAATGTACACATGTCAAACATCTGTTGAAGGTTAAGCGAAGGCTGCTCTAATTTTTGTTTTATTGTATTCAGGATAGCGAAGGAAAAGTAGGCTTTTTCTTATGAAATCCATCTACTTTTGTTTTGCAGCCAATAAATGTTTTTATACTGCCAAAACTATCAATATTCAGCTTTTATCACAAATCTACTGGTGGTCTGGCAGACCCCAGTTCTGAGCTACCCTGTCACCCCAGCAGAGGAGTAAGAGAATGAAACCCTCATTTTATTTCTGTGCACTAGCTCCCTCCATCTGGGTAAACAAGCTAAATAACCAGCTAATGCAGCTGACATCTTGAATTATGTAATTTCTCATAACACGTGCCAGAAATGCTGCTCAGCCCTGCTATACATGCAGGAATGCTGTTCAAAGCCCTGGCTTCTGGTTCAGCAGCATGATCAGTGGTACAAATGGTGCTCAGCATGCAGTGGGATTACTGAGCCATGCTGGGGGAGGAAGGAAGGCTCCATAACTATTATCCACTGTTATATCCTTCATGGACATCTGCCAGACAGAAAAGGCAACCACAGGGACAGGGAAACAGATATCCTGGAGGAGATGGCTTGTGGTGAAAATCCAAGTTTAGGATCAGTACTTTGTATTTCTGTGCAACAAGAACTTTTCTATCTGCCTTTAGGATTGCTGAAATCTCTAGATTTTTGCAAGAAAGACTTACAAAAACCAGAATACTTGTCACAATTCTGTTGAAGTCCCAGGAAAAACCCATGAATGTTAGGCTGGCAGATTCAAGGTGTTGCCCTACAGTTTAAGGAAAAACTGAAGACTTAAAAGATATCTGTCATCAGGGGCAGCCTGGCTGCTCAGGTATTCTTATTGCAGTGCTAGTGACAAATTTTCAACAGAACCCCTAATAATATTTTACAGTATTACAAAAAGCTTCCTCCTTTTCTGACTGGTTAGTGGTAACTATGTAATGAAACCCTCTGGTGCCGTGAACAAGCACGGCTGTCAACCCCAGTACATGCATCAGCAGTGCACCCGTGCTTTAATCAATTAAATTCTGAGTGGTGTATTTGCAATACATGGAAAAATGACAGAAGACACAACATTGGGTATTGGCCCACTAACAACCACCTGCCTTCATGATTTAACAAATCAGGAATACTTTCTTTCTTGAAATATATTCCTTATTTGAATATGTATGTTTGGTTATGTTTAATTGCTGTCTGAATCTGTTTATAAGCTGTCGTGGTCTAGGGCAGGAACCAAGACCTGTCACTCACTGGAAAATTTGTGCTACTACTCAGATTGCTTTGTGGGAGGCACAACCATAGCTGGAAACAAAGAACAGCATAGAATATATTTTATTTGGTCTAAGTACTTGGAAAGTTAGAAAAGTGCCTAAAAAAATATTTCAGTTTGTGGCATGAATAAGATAAGACATATCCTCCAAAACTGGAATGGCTGCAACCAAACTGTCTCTGGAAATGATCCCTGGCCTACAACAGTGCCCAGAACTCAGCCAGGCAGTGGCTGGGCCAGTACAATATGAAGCAAAGAAGTGGCTTTCTTGCAGATTGCAAGGTAAATAATTCAATTTAATTAAGCCAAAAGGATTTTTGCCTATGTTTTTTGTTTTATTTTGTTTTATGAAAAGGTGAGTCACTATGGTAAACCATATGTTATTACCTACAGAACAAAAAATAACACTTGGTCCAAGATTTCACTCCTAATTTCTTTAGTTTATATCCCAGGAAAAAGATAAATTTGCTAAGCCATGAGAAACATCCAGTTAAATTAATACAATCTGCAGATTTTAAATCAGGCTACTACTTTGAAATTCTCCTGACAAGAATATTTACAGTTTACTTATACAATTATATATGGAAAAGATAAAAGGGAGAGGAAAATAAAGATCTATTGGAAAACATGTATAGCTACATACTTCCCTGTAGTTTTAAGATTTGCTTTAGTTATTTAATAGGCCATATTGTAGGTAGTATGAATGAAAAATAACCCAATCAAACAAAATCCTCCACAATGTGTTTAAATTAGTATGATACAGTACAGCTGATACATAAAGCATTACATTGATAAAAAAGGTGTAAAATGCTCAATATATGGTACAATTATATATTTAATATTATATCTAGTATAGAAGAGAGTATATCTTCTATTTCAGAGAAAGCAATGAAATAATAAAAATTGTAATATAAACCAATCCTTCTAGAGAAAAAAAACCCAGAACTTTGAACTTTTCGAATAAAACATGTATACATTTCCTTCAGTAAACATAACAAACTAATTCAGAAGTAGAAGGTTTATTTCATAGATGGAAGATGTCAGGTTTTCATCCAGTTACCACAAGAAACTGTAACTCAGTCAAAATGAAGACAAAAATTTACCTTTTAAACTACAGATTTTTTTTCCCTATGGAAGCTGACCATTGCCCATAAGACACAAAGAAAAGTTATCCAAGTCATGACAACTTTCAGAAAGGTGTAGTGAAGCTTACTTTTGATGATCTCCCAGTGGTCTTTGCCCAATGGATTTTAATAATGACTCTGGTCGAACGGATAATTTTGGTGATGTCTTGGGGCTAGTATCAGAATCTCCACTTTCTTCATCTCCCATGGCCTTAATATAGCTCCCACTTCTCATTCTTCTGCACGGGATCTCTTCATCTTTCCCACCAGCTGGGTATCCTCCCCATTCATCCTGAGGTACCTAATAGACACCATAAAACACACACACAGGATGTGGTTTATTCTTTTCATATCTTTAAATACTTCCTTCCGTTATTCATTTTACAAAGACAAGAAATGAATTTTTTATTCTTCAGAAATAGATGTCTTATAAAGAGATTTCTGAGAACCCTAAATGATTTTGCCATTTAACTTCAACTTCAGAGTTGGAAATTTTCAGTTCATAAATGTTAGAACCCAAGGAACAATAAAGTCATGGATTGTGAGCAAAGCTGCAATATCTATTTGTAGACATGCTCTAAACTGCAGGAAGCATCTTAAAGTTTGCACATAGATTTTAATCTGATAACACTAAGTTATTCAGGAATCTTAGACCTGAAACTTATTGAAAGCTGAGCACTTTGGGATTTATTACCAGTAGTCCTTATAAGGAGGTGAATGGAGTATTTCAGATAAACTAAGCCATGATCTTGGCATAAATGGATAGGATTAGGATTTATGGCAAACTTCTGTGGGGAAAAAAAAAAATGAAGTGGTAATTTGTCTTTTTTCTATCTAGGAGATTCAAAATGGTTGATAGAGACTGTAATATATCAGAAATTCAAACAGTTAAATAATACAAGTGGTTGCAGGATTGCAGTTGCCTTTATGCAGTTCAAGTGGATTTCCAAATAGTAAGATTGGTAGTTGGATAGTCCACAGCTGGTGGATGGAAATATCTGCACCACAAATTACCAAAGAAATGAGCATGAGTAGATTCTTCAATCCAAAGTGAAATCAGCCTTGTTTCAATGCTTATGATTAAACACTGCCTGTCTCTGCCATTAGTGCTTTTTTTTTTTTTTAATTTAATCTTCCAAGTCCTCTGGCTCTAATCCAGAAACACACTTATGCATTTAATTTGTTTTAAGGATATAGGCAACTCTCTGTAATGCATTATAAGGACTCCCATTTAAAAAGTAGGATGTGACAGAGTTCATCAGTGGACCAAGGCAGATGCCCTTGGCAGCATCAAATCCTTTATCAACATTATGATTCCATCTATATTAAGCAGTTTAATGTCTTTATTTACTAATATACTATAAGTGTGAAATCTCAATTAGACATATATTTTGTAGTTTCTGCAAAGCAGGTATCAAATAAAGATTTTCAAGTCAAAGATATTTGAAAGCTCCTGCAGACAGAGTTCACTGTGGAGCTGAAGCAAGTGCTCCCATTGGTTTCAGCAGTCTTGGAGACTGGGTTTAAAAAATTAACATGATCTCCTTGCCATCTATAGCCCTTTCAAGACAGATGAATTAGCCCCACACACCAGGTGAACAGAGGTGTGGCTTTGAGTCCTAAAAAGGGATTAAGGGAGAAATGAAGTTTTAAAAAGGGGTGAACAAGTAAAAATAAATATATTAAATTTAAAAGCAGAAGCTTAAAACAGAAAAAAAGAAATAAAAGACTGAAGATGAAGTCAGATAAGAAGAAATTAAATAGATTGCACATATCAAAAAAATGGTAGAGATAACTATCAGAGAAAAAAATATGTCATGTTCTTATACAGAGTAATAGGACAGAGCATGAATCTAAGTGTAATATGGTTACATCACGCAAAGAAACAAACTTTTCACATTATTCAGCTTTGGATAGTGATTGGAAAGGAAGCATCAAAAATCTTCCCAAACTTGAAGCCTGTAAGTATTATACAAAATTCTCATTTCTTTTCTCAGACCTAATAGGTATAAAATTAATGTTTCAGGAATGCTCTTTATGATTCTATGAGATCTAAAAGATCATTTACATGTAGTCATAGTAGTCATAGCTAGTTGCTTAAAATACTAAATATATATACATTAAATTCAGCATTTAATTTTTTAATCCACAGCGGACAACTTTAACAGCTGCAAAAATCTGAATTAGGGAGCTATTTTACTACTTGATATCATACAAACATACTCTTATTTTTAAATATTTTTTATCAAATGTATGTCAGCATGGCTCAAGCCGAAGTCCAAATGCCAAAAAAGCAGTGACTGCCATCTACATAGGCCCACTACAGGGTGTACTGTTAAACTTTCAGTACTAAAGCTGAATTATCATGTCTTAATATTATTTTCTAAAAAAAAATCCCCTAATAACTTTTTCATAGAATGATTATTTAGGCTTGAAACTTCTTTCCTTCATTTTACTTCAGAGATAATTAAATAGAAAGTTTAAAAAGACATTGATCAATAAGCTTTTACTGACTCAAATGCAGAAAATGATTAGTTTCTCAACTTTATTTTGCCTGAAATTCCATATTCAAATAACTAGATAAGGACTGGATTTAAATGGGTACAACACAGGCTTATTTGTTGTTTGAAGTTGCAATCTTATTTTAAAAGATAGGAAATGACTGATTCTGTACATTAAAGTATCTAAAAAATTAAACTTCACTGTGATAAGGACAAACATTGCAGTTATGTGCATCACTGTTTCTGTTGATTGCATTTCTTTTGCTGTCTGTATTCATAAGTTATATGAATTCACATAACAGCTAAAGACCAAAGCTGAAACCCAAAGAAGTTCTGCTCCACTTATGGTGTGATGTGCTCATGGTACACAAGGCAACAAGAATCCCTTTCTAATCAAACCAACTCACTGGCTATCACAGAAGCATTTATATGGTTGTAACAACATTATTTACAATTAAAATATCTAGGTTTTGTTGGATTTTTTTTTTTTTCACTTAAGCCATTCAAAGGAGCACAATATAGTGAATGCAGTGAAAATGCTTCTGGAACCTGGTGAGGAAATTTGACCATGTGTTTTCTCAGAAGGTTTCATCCAGAGCTTTGGAGAACAGCTGGAGTCTTTTTGCTATCTTCAAAATGAAAAATTAAAAAAAAAAAAAGGAAAAAAATAAATATTGTTTTTCCTCATGGACTGAGAACAGGACCAAAATTTGAGCCCCAGGTCAGCCTAGTTCTTCATTTACTTGAGCTGATAGGTTAAATACTTGGAAACATCTTTCCAAATCCAGGCTCTCTCAAACCCCAACACAGCTTTAAAGAAAAGCAAAAGCATTATGTAAGTGCAGGAAAGATTTTTATTTTGAGATATTAACAAAAACATTTAACATCATATATGAAGGTGATTAAATATACATCTTCCAAAATATGGAAAGGTCTTTGCAACTTCCAGAAATTCTACCTTACAATAGCTACCAGCCCCTGAAATTCCCATCTGCAAGGCTTGCAGCTGCTAATTTGGAATAATTACCCTAATTATCTACTTACATACAGTGATGAATGCTGATATTTATAATGTCTAAAAAGGCCTTCCTTCTGTTCTAGATGTTAACATGAATCCTTGTATATGTAGCTTCTATCCACAGAGGAGTTATACTGCATATTACCATATGCATTTCCTTTTGCAAGAACAACTGGCTGACAAGGTCTGGCTGCTGATCTGGTTACAGCTATTACAGAGAATGATGAGACTCCTTCATAAGTATCACTATTCATAAGTATTCACTGTTGCTGTAAGGAGCACCAGATTCAGAAAATCTGACATCTTTCAATTGTCCATCTACTGATTCATTTTGACATCTTACATTAATCAACTTGGGTCAATGTTAATAAAGCACTTGATACCTGACACTTACTACATGTTATGAAGCTGAACTGACAGTGAATTCCAGAACCTTAAGGAGGATCCTAAATTCCCCATAAAGGCATTTAGGAGAGTTAGTTCCTAAAGAAGGTCCATCTAGTTAGCAATCAGAATGTAAAGTGTGAAGAAAAATCTCAAATAGTTCTCCTTTCTTGGACTTACTGTATCTGATTACAGGCAGCAGAAAAGCTTTCTGTTATTTCTGTCAGATCCTAAAATCATTTTCTGAAGAAGAAAGGTGGGGTTGTTTTTGTTTTTTTTGGTGGTTTTTTTTTGTGGTTTCCCCCCCCTCAAAATACAGTAGCCTTGTTTTTTTCTTCTATGATGAAACAGCTGTGGAAGTGGAAGACTTTCTTGGTCACCTTCTAATCAATGAAGTTTGGAGAGCTCTCCTCTTTTTGTCACTCCCAGCCTTTTTATGAAGCCCTCAGAGATTGCCTGGGGAGGGCTGGTTAGGAGAGAGGGACTCGATCCACATAAAAGGGTGCGATGCAGCTTTGTGATCAGGGATTTACCTGAGAAGAGGGAGCTGAGTTACAGCCCCTAGGCCAAGCACTCACATGAATTTTATGTAAAAGAGTGTTTGGAGAAAACTTGTAGAGCCTCTTAACAAAGAAAGAAGTATCTTTGCTCGAAAATTATGTACATCCTGATGCTTAGAATGCAATTAATGGAGCTGAGAAGATGGTGTTTCGTGTTTGGTGATCCATAGGCTACAGAAGAAACCAAACTGTCATCTTCACAGTGGGTATTCTAGAAATTTTGTTACTATAAAAACAAATTTCCTTGCTTTGGATAAAATGTTGCTATCCTTGTGATGTTAGAAGTTCATGTCTTAAAATACCCCTTACTACTAATTTTTTTGGCTAAATACCTAGAGTTATGACTGGCCATTAACATGACCAGTTAATGGCCATAAAAATTATGATTTCTGAATTTTATTTTAAATCTTATTTCTATCTCCCTTTTATAGAAACAATACATATTTGTGTGAGTAGAGTTCTAACTTTTCTTCTTTTATTATTTCATATGTTTTATGCTGTGTTGTAATTTAATTAAAATGGACCAGGCTACCCAGGTAAGAAGCTGAATCACCACCCCTGGATGTATTTAAAAGATGTGTAGATGCAGTGCTTAGAGACATGATTTAGTGGTGCATGTGGCAGTGCTGAGTTAACATTTGGACTCAATGGCCTTAAAGATAATTTCCAATCTAAATGATTCTATGTTTCTATTCTTCCTGTTGAGTGTACTGATTGTGTTCAGACCAGATCTGACAGAAGAAGGATTTTGGACCCTTAACTGGACTTCAGCTGTACGTCTGTCCCCTGATTCTCAGGAAGAATAAAACCAGCATGTTGTCAGGGAAAACAGAGATGG